CTGGACAGCCATTTGTCTGGAATGGGATAGGGTTTCCTGCCTGAGCAGGGGGTTGGACTAGATGACCTCCAAGGTCCCTTCCAACTTTACTATTATTATTGTTGTTGTTGTTGTTGTTGTTGTTGTTGTTGTTATATTATTATTATTATTATTATTATTATTATTATTATTATTAAGTTTTTGCAGGAAAAAGCCATTTCTCGAGCCCTTTCTAGCCAAAACAAGCCTCGGGAGCGAGCGCGCTGTTTTCAGCTTTGAATTATATCAAATCTGACACCAGAAACAGACTAACGCGTGATCTGAGTGTTGCATGTGTTGCTCTCAAACTTACAAAGTCTGAGCCAAGGTTAGACAAATGATCAGCATGCCTACAACAGCCAAAATCACCTTAACTGTTCAAAAGCACGCCAAATGCAAACTTTTGCCTTTCAACAAAAAGTTGTTTGTATCATTGAAAGCTTTGCTATTGTGTTTTTCTTGTAAGGCAAAAGATGTTAATGTATGAGTTGTTGTTGGTTTTTTTTCCTAAACTAAAACCTCAGTATTCAGGTTAAATTGCCGTGTTGGCACTTTGCAGTAAATAAGTGGGTTTTGTGGGTTGCAGTTTGGGCACTCGGTCTTTAAAAGGTTTGCCATCACTGGGCTAAGTGGGGTTCAGGACAGGCAGAAGTCCCAGTTCCTCTCTGGGTGCCGAGAACTGGGCTCACCTCCTCCACCAGGGACCTGAGCCGAGAGAGCCAGTCTTCGGCCTGATCCAAAACCGCCTGCAGGTCGGAGTCTTCGTGCTTCATCTTCAAGGCCGCCTGGAGCATCTGGTTGAGGTTGGTGGTCCGGAAACGGTAGAGATACTGGTCCAGGTGGGTGCTGGTTGGCTTCTGGGTGACGTCGGCCAGGGGCTGGCTGCAGGAGGAGGAGGGGGCGAAGGAAGGCCAGGTGAGTCTCATCCTAGCCCATTAGGCTAATTAGCATTTCCCCCCTCTTTAAAACCAAAGGACACGTTGGGGCTGGTGGACAACCTCAAAGCTGACCCCAGCCAGAGTGGAGAAGAAGTCAAAGAAGCAGCAGGAGATTGGAAGAGGTGGAGAGACCCCCAGCCCAGAGAATTGCCAAGATACTCCTCCTCCTCTTCCACCTCCTCCTCTTCCTCCTCCTCCTCCTCCTCCTCTCCGCCTCTTCCTCTTCCTCCTTTCTCCTCCTCTTCCACCTCCTCCTCTTCCTTTTTTTTCCTCCTCCTATTTATAGTCCTATTTAATTGCATTGTAAGCCTAATTACCCATTTTCTCTATTTTTCCTGTAATTTTAATAGAATAGAATAGAATAGAATAGAAAATAAGAATAAAATAGATAGAATAAGAAATAAGAATAGAACAGAATAAGAATAGAATAGAATAGAATAGAATAGAATAGAATAGAATAGAATAGAATAGAAAATAAGAATAAAATAGATAGAATAAGAAATAAGAATAGAACAGAATAAGAATAGAATAGAATAGAATAGAATAGAATAGAATAGAATAGAATAGAATAGAATAGAATAGAATAGAATTACAGAATAGAACAGAATTACAGGACAGGACAGGACAGGACAGGACAGGATCGCTCAACGTTACAAAGGCACTTTAGAAAGTGATTTATGACCGTTTTTCACCCTTATGACCGCTGCAGCATCCCCGTGATCAACATTCAGACCCTTGGCAACTGACTCATCTTTATGACGGTCGCCGTGTCCCAGGGGGGGTCACAGGATCCCCTTTTGCGACCTTCTGACAAAGTCAAGGGGGAGCCAAACCCACTTAACAACCGTGTCCCTGCAGGGACTCCCTTAACAACTGTGGCAAAGAAGGTCATAAAAGTGAGTCAAAACTCACTTAACGGCTGTCTTGCTTAATAACAGAAATTTGGGGCTGAGTCGTGGTCGTAAGTCGAGCGCCGCCATAGAAAGCATAAACCCTGTTCCGAATATTGACCCCTGACCCCTGTTGGCTCTTCGGAGGTGAAACCTTTGCCACAAGCCAAGACAGACAAACCGAGTTTGGCCCTTTGGCTAATCCGAGGGGTGGGAGGAGGAGGAGGGGGGTCTTTGGCTGGCCACACGGAGAGGGCTTCTAGTCCTCTGGAGGCTCATCTACAGTTCAGCCCTTTGAAGGGAAAACAAACACTCTGTCCCTCCACATAAGCACAAAATAACATTTTTGTGCTGGGTTATTTTCGGCTCTTGTGGAAACCCATCCTGTTTATTTGTCTTTCAACGAACTCCGTCCAGAGAAATCCCCCCAGGGACTTTTAACTTTTAACTTGCAGCAACACCAGCCCCAGACCCCTTGTCTTCCGTCACCATCTTTCATTCCTGGAATGTGCGGCCATTTCTCTACAGGGGGGTGGCATTTTGCACATGCCCAGAGACCATGTTTCCTTGATCATTTCTTCACACGCCCCTGTTTTGGGCTTAAATCAGGGGGGGGGAGGTCAAAAAAGGAAGGAAGGAAGGAAGGAAGGGAGGAAGGAGAGAGAAAGAAAGAAAGGAAGGAAGGAAGGAAGGAAGGAAGGAAGGAAGGAAGGAAGGAAGGAAGGAAGGAAGGAAGGAGACAGAGAGAGAGAGAAAGAAAGAAGAGAGAGAGAGAAAAAGAGAGAGAGAAAGAGAAAGAAAAAAGAAAGAAAGAAAAAGAAAGAAAGAAAAGAGACAGAGAGAGAAAGAAAGAAGAGAGAGAAAGAAAAAAGAGAGAAAGAAAGACAGAGAAAGAAAAAAGAAAGAAAGAAAAAGAGAGAAAAAAGAAAGAAAGAAAGAAAGAAAAGAGACAGAGAGAGAAAGAAAGAGAGAAAGAAAAAAGAGAGAGAGAAAGAAAGAAGAAAGACAGAGAAAGAAAAAAAGAGAAAGAAAGAAAGGAGAGAAAGAAAGAAAGAAAAAAAAGAAACAGAGAGAAAGAAAGAACGAAAAAGAGAAAGAAAGAAAAGACACAGAGAGAGAGAGAAAGGAGAGAAAGAAAGAAAGAAAGAGAGACAGAGAGAAAGAAAATAAACAGAAAGAGAGAAAGAAAAAAGAGAAAGAGAGAGAGAGAGAGAGAGAGAGAGAGAGAGAGAAAGAAAGAAAGAAAGAAAGAAAGAAAGAAAGAAAGAAAGAAAGAAAGAAAGAAAGAAAGAAAGAAAGAAGCATCCGGAGAATGACCTCACAGAGGCTTTGAACCCGAAGGGGTCCAAACCATGAACTTGGGGAGGGGGAGGCTGCCGGGAGACCCCCACCCCATCCCACCCGCCCCAGAGAGAGGTCTCTCCCTGCCAGGCCAGGCCAGCCCTCAGCCGCACAAAGGGGCCATTGAGGCAGGCGTGGAAATTGATGACCTGCCTCCAGCCTCACCTCTTCAACCTGGGGGCCTTGGCTCAGTGCCCCCGGAGCAGCCTTCTTCGGCCCCAGGACCCCCTCCAAGCTAAACAAACAAACTCCTGGCAAACCCACCCAGCAGCCCCCCCCCGGCCTGGCCCCACACACACACACACACACACACACACACACACACCGCCCACCTACCTGCAGTCCGTCATGAGCTCATCCAGCATCTGAGCCACCAGGGTGTCCAAGGCGCTGGCAGAGCGCTGGGCTTTCCGGGCCAGGTAGACCAGCTCCAAGTTGGCAGCCTGCACCGGGCAGAGAGCGAAAGGCCACACGGCACTGAGGGAGGGGCCCACACCCGGCCCTGGCAGCCCTCCCACCTGCTGGCCCAGGAGGCAGCGGAAGGCGCCCATGGACACCCAACGGCGCCTTGCGTTGCACCCTTCAGGAGCCCCTGGGAGAAACACCGAGACCCCTTGGACCATAAAACGGGGGACAATTAACCACGCCACCCACGAAAACCCAGGCTCGGCCTTGATCCCACTGGCGCGGCCTCCATCTTGACTTTTTTGACCCACCCCGTGCAAAATGTTGGACTAGGCTGCAGAGAAGCCAAACGTTTGGAACGGCTCCCCTCCAGAAGCTGTGGGCGCTCCACCGTTGGGAGGTTTTCAAGAAGAGACGGTCTGAAATGGTACTATAGGGTCTCCTGCTTGAGCAGGGGGCTGGACTAGAAGACCCCCGGGGTCCCTTCCAGCTCTGTCCTTCTGTACTGCTGAGTCTCGGGACCCGCTGCCCATCCCTCAGCTGAGCCTTAGAAGCTGTCCTTCTTCGCTCCACAAACCCACATCAAGCCAGGTCGTCCCTCCGCGAGGATCCCGTCCCTTTGTTCCTTCGCTCGCAAGGACGGGATCGGCTCGTTCTACTCACTGACCGAGACCGCCATCATCTGAGACCGCGGAGAAAAGCAGAATCTCTTCCGGAAACAAACTGGAGAGGGGCAGGGGGGGGGCTCCAAGGCTCGCCTTCCCAGCCCCGAGGACTCACCAGCCGGTCCGCAGCCGTGGCGAGGAGATTCTGGGCCTCCGTCCGGTGGCTGCTGTCTTCCCAGTAGGAGGAGAGGACCACCACGGGCTTCACGTTGCCCCACGGAAGGTAGTAGTACTGACAGCCTGGAGACGGAGAAGGCAGAGAGGCCTCCGTCGTCAGGCAGTCCTCGACTTACAACAGTCCCTTTAGTGACCGTTCAAAGCTACGACGGCACCAAAAATGGGGACCCGTTTCAACACGGCCGTTGCAGGATTTCCCACAGTCGCATGATCAAAATTCAGAAGCCGGGCCACTGACTCATACCTATGACGGTTGCGGCCTCCCTTTTGTGACCTTCTGGGAAGCAAAGTCAGAGGGGAAGCCAGAATTCCATGAACAGCAGTTTGACTGACTTAACAACTGCAGGGGGTTCCCTTCAGAATTGTGACAAGAAAGGTCGTAAAATGGAGGGGGGAACGCATTTAACGAATGATTCAACTTAGCGACAGAAATTCTGGGCTCACTTGTGGTTGTAAGCCGAGGACTTACTTGTATTTATTTATTAAATGTCTACATCAGGGGTAGGCAACCTTTGGCTCTTTTATGACTCATGGACTTCAACTCCCAGAATTCCTGAGCCAGCCATGCTGAGGGGAAAGGGAGAGGTTTCCAAGCTGAGCCAAGCTGGCTCAGGAATTCTGGGAGTTGAAGTCCACCAGTCATAAAGCGGCCTAGGCCAGAGGTAGGCAACCTTGACTCTTTTATGACTCGTGGACTTCAACTCCCAGAATTCCTGAGCCAGCATGGGGGAACTATGGCTGCTTCATGACTTGCAGACTTCAACTCCCAGAATTCCTGAGATAGCATGGTTCAGCTTGGAAACCTCTCCCTTTCCCCTCAGCATGGCTGGCTGAGGAATTCTGGGAGTTGAAGTCCACGAGTCATAAAAGAGCCAAGGTTGCCTACCTCTGGCCTAGGCCTAGGCCGCTTTATGACTGGTGGACTTCAACTCCCAGAATTCCTGAGCCAGCATGGGGGAACTATGGCCCCCTCATGACTCGTGGACTGCAACTCCCAGAATTCCTGAGATAGCATGGCTCAGCTTGGAAACCTCTCCCTTTCCCCTCAGCATGGCTGGCTCAGGAATTCTGGGAGTTGAAGTCCACGAGTCGTAAAAGAGCCCAGGTTGCCTACCTCTGGCCTAGGCCTAGGCCGCTTTATGACTCGTGGACTTCAACTCCCAGAATTCCTGAGCCAGCATGGCTCAGCTTGGAAACCTCTCCCTTTCCCCTCAGCGTGGCTGGCTCAGGAATTCTGGGAGTTGAAGTCCACCAGTCATGAAGGAGCCATAGTTCCCCCATGCTGGCTCAGGAATTCTGGGAGTTGAAGTCCATAAGTCATAAAAGAGCCAAGGTTGCCTACCCCTGGTCTACACCATCAGTCTACAAACGAGAATAGTCCAAGAACCTCAGCTCAGGAAATTAAATATAACACTGATCCTATGGCGACTCTAGAGAGCCATATTGTGGTGATTTTATCACGGCTTTACCGCAATTTAACATTTTATCTCATTTATACATGTATGTAAAGTGTGTGGACTTTGTCTCATAAAGTCCACGCACTTTACATACGTGTATAGGCTCACCCATCTTCAAGTTGCCAAGGTCGACAAATATTGGACTACTAGATGTGGCTTCAGGCACCTCCCAGCCCCACAATTCCACAAATCTGTGAACGGCGCCAGGAGAGACCCACAGTTTTACAATTTTAAGATCTTCTCTTCCTTGGAGAAGACCAAGAAGGAAAGGCCGCCGTCAGCCAGAACTCCCATCCAGGAGTTGAAAGGTCAAAGGTCTCCAGTTCCGTTCAGTGGTCAACCTGATCAGGGCACCCAGCTCCTTCCTCACCATCAAAGACCGCCCGGCTGAACTGGGTGGTGGATGCCAGCGGCAGGCAGGTGTTGTCAAACTTGTTTCCGTAGTTGCCGATGCTGACCTCAAACTGGACAGCGTCACCCACGCCTTGCAGCATGGTGGCCGAGTAGAAGGCGGCAAAGAGATTGTACTTCCGCCGACGCAGGTATTTCTGAAAAAGACAGGGAAGGAGAGAGAGAT